AATGGATAAGAGAATGGCAAAAGTCAGCAGCAGGGCCAGATTAACCCTTTAGTGGGCTCAAGGGCAAAAAAACCTGTGGACCCCTACTTAATACTGTATATTTCCATATCTTTTATTCACTCAATAATTATAATATGTAAAATAAGCACAACTGGGTCCCTTTTTTCCTTAGCGCCCTAGGCATGTGCCTAGTTTGTCTGTGCATTAATCTGGCCCTAGCTACCGAATATGCCTGTTACCGTTGCAATAAAGTGAGTTTTCCCTGAGGTCTGGTTTTACTGGACAGCTTATAATCTGTGGAGATCTTAAACTCGTCGCCAAGCATTAACATTTCAACTGGCAGCTTTTCTGGTGATCCACAATGATGTAGAGCTTCCGTACAGTTTTACATTCAGCTGTTCAACAGACATATTGGCTAGGGACAGACATTACACATAAACTGGTTTAAGTGATCAGAAACTGGTTTAAACCTGTAACAGAACAGATGTTCAGTGCACATAAACCAGCTTGAGAATGGTTGAAACTGGTTTGAGATAAACCTGGTTGAATGTAATATCATAGATCTATAGACTCATAGATGCTAGGGTTGGAAGGGACCTCAACAGATCATCGAGTCTGACCCCCTGCCTACGCAGGGAAGAGTGCTGGGGTCAGATGACCCCAGCCAGATGCCTATCCAGCCTTCTCTTAAAGACCCCAAGGTAGGGGAGAACACCACCTCCCATTGGAATCCCAACCAGCCTTACTGAACTCACTGGAACCAGGTGTATTAATAGCAGCAAGCAGCTGATCCAGACTTAACTGATTTGGGTCAAACCTGGTTATGCAGTGTCTGTCCCAGATCCCTTGCTGGTTTAAATTAAATCAGACTCCCCCAGCATCCTGGCATGCTCTCTGGGCAGGGCTCTCTGCTCCCTGGCTGCAGCTCGGACAGTCTCTGCAGACATCTGCCTGGCTTCTGCTCCTCCTTCCCTCATCACTGTCTGCTAAGCAGGCATTCCCCCATCCCTCACAGACACCTCTCAGCATTGGCTAGCAGACCACGTGCTGGCTACTTCCGAGCTGATGCACATGAAAGAAAGGCAGAATCACCAGATAGCTGGTAGTGTTTTCTTAATGGGGGGAGAAGCACAGAGTTAGGGGTGATAAACATCCCCTGTTGGGCTGCTGAGGAGGAGGGGAGCACCCTCCCCAATCAGACCATCCTGTGTGTGCATGGCCACGCCCCCCTCAGCTCAGCACTGTGCAAGGGAAGTGGGGGCTTCTAGCCTGAGCCACTGAAGACATGTGTCTGCATTTCTGGGATGTCTCTCTGGTTACAAAACTGATTTAGCCTAGCCAGGTTAGACTAACCTGCAAAGATTGAATCAATTCAGGCTCAGGCTTGTTGAATGTCTGTCCCCAGCCGTTGTGAGAGCTGCCTCTAACTTTCACCCAGGCAGCCCAGCGCTTATCAGTTTTCAGCAAAATCAACTTTCAGGCAACACCATGTTGGCCTAGTTTTGATTAAAAGCCTAGATGGAGGAGGCTCTAGACTGTGTTCCCTACCACTAATCCTATTACCCCTCTTTCCTGCCTGATAATGATGGGCTGGATTTTCATACATTCATTTCATAGTTCAATACATAAATTAATTTCATAATTCAGTGAACTTGAGAATCAAAGTGAGTATTAGATCTCTATGGAATTCAGGTAGTGTTTGTGGGCCTGATCCTCACCTGATGTAAACTGGCTACAGTGGAACAATTTAAGGACACGGTAGAACTGTTCCAGTATTAATGGCTGAACAATGTGGTGCTCACATATGAGAGACTGAGCTGTGAAATCATTCACCAGGCAGAACCCATTGCTATTGACCTCTTTCTGCAGGAATCTCTGGATGAGCTCTTAATGCCAATGTGGATTATCTCCAGCATGTACATGTTGTAACTACTGCTGATACACATCAGAGTAGCAGAGCAGAATCTGACCCTTCAGATTCTTGCCTGCCAGTGGCATGGTGAAGCAGTTATATCCGTTACAAAAAGCCACAATGCTATTTTCAGTGAGCAGTCAGAAAGCAGACAGAGCAAGACACAGCATGCATCCTGTTCTAAAGAGGCTATGGTTTTATTTCTTTTCATGAGCTGTGAACAAACTTGTATATTTTTCACCAGCTTGGTAGAATAGCGGTGCTTCTCATGCTGCCTGGCTGAGATACTGAATTCAAATTTATATTTGTAGTTTTACAAGTGAAGATTTAAATGCATATCTCACTTTACTCCTCTGTGTAATACACATACTTCTCATTAACTTTACTGGCACCTAGATGTCACCATTGCCCTGCAAATGCATCTGAAATCAAATAAGATGTAGTTGGCAGTAAAACCTGGATTGTCTATCCTGCAGGCACTGCACACACTGAAGCGAGCTTTAAATTAGCCGGCTCTGCTACTGTTACCTGTATAGCCACAGGAAATGGGGCTCAGGATGAGCTGCAAAACACGTATGTACTTGGCTGGGTAGCCTACTCTGAGCTCTGCACTGCTGCAGCTGCATTGGTAGCAGTCCCTAATGTATGTTAACTGCAATCACAGCCATGACTGCAGTGTGTCATGGCTGGGATGGGATGATAGAATTGTGGATGGTCCTGCCTTGAGCAGGAGGTTGAACTAGGTGACCTCCTGAGGTCTCTTCCAACCCTAACTTTCTATGAGTCTATGTGTACGTCCATCTGGATACTTAAAGAAAGAAGCCCAGCTCTGATGCATTGGAGACTGGTAATATCTTTCCAATAAAGCAATGTATTCCAGGGGCATTTCGTGGATAGCCATGCAGATGTGTAGATTATAAGCAAGCAGTGTAGTTCCAATCAAGTGGCCTAAGTAGTTTCCTTTGAAAGGGTCATTTTCAGATTCCACCATTTTTGATGATTCCACCAGTGTCAGACTTTTACTCTGGAGGATAAATCTGTCCACTTTTCTTTTTTCCCTGTGAAGCCTCTTTTTTTGTGGCAAGTTTCAGTAAAATGAGTGCAGCCCTTTACGATTTGGAAGAAAGGGCGAAACTACAGTTTTCCCATGCAACAAAGCTTTTTGTCATTTCAGTATTTGGGGGATAAGGACTTAAAATTTGATGAGAGGGCAGCAAATCCCTAGGTCATAGATGTGCCTTTAGCCCAGTGAAAATCCTTTTTGGATTGGTGGAGATCTAAGGGTTTCAGAGGTACTTTGCTCAGGTGCTTTGGGTTTCTTTACTCAAAACCAAATTTTACTAATAATCTGCTGGTGCTTCATTGACACAGCACTTACATGCATAAGAAGGTAGAGCAGAATTTCATTTTTTTCATTTATGGTGGCCCATAATATATGATCGATGAGGTCCTGAATGGAGTAATGCAATGCTCCTTTCTTTAAAATTACCAGAGGATCTCAACATAGGCTCGTTTGTTTTTTGTTTTAGTCGGTACTTACCTAATGTCCCCCTGAACAGTCACATACCTGGCCTGATTCTGCATTCCTGTGAAACTTTACTGGTTTTCTGGGTCTTGTCAATGTAAACTTCAGCTGTACATTCTCCTGATTCCTACAGACACAGATGACACCATTTATTTTTAATCCACCTGATGCAGAAATCCAGTTAGCACCACACCTATTGGTGTGAAATATTCCTGAAGCATTTTGTTGAAACAGAATACAGTTGGCAAGCGTAACGAATGCTTAGTGGATAAGAGGAATAAAGGCTGACATGAGCAATCATGGTTGTTCATGAAGGACTGTCAGGTTTACTGTCTAAATTAGTCCAAGGTTTTGCTGTGGAAGGGGTGGGTTGGCTGATCACAGGAAAGCGGGGCTGGGCTAAGCAGGTAGTATGAAAGGTATCTTTTGTTTTATGATTAACAAATGTGGTTGGAATCTCTACTATTATATAGAAATTGTCTTTCTTAATTAGCTAACGCACTTGGAATGCATGCAGGGAACACGTTTCAATAAAGAAAGGATGCCTCATTTTTAAACTTAAGAACCGGGGCTAAAGCCACCCCCTGCTAGCACAGAATCTTGATCTCATGGGCAGCTCGGCTCACAGCACTTCACAGTGATTCAGGTGGGACCCGAGGTTCTTGGAGTAGGGGCCAAATAGGAATTATACAGGTACTAAGTTGTACTGAATCCTATGGCTTCCCTATTTACACCCTGTCCCTGGGACGGGCTGGCTGCGAGTCTCCACTGGAGGGAAGGTTGAGATTCTTTGTACTGCCACCAGGCCCTCCTGGTGAATATTTTGCCCCTCTTCCCCAGGGTGGTTTTTACTGGTAGAGACCAGGAGTCAATTTGCTCTAAGCTTTCCATACATGCACGTGGTAGCTATTATGATATTTGCCCCCAGTGTATACAGACTGCTCCAGCCTCTTGTACCATGGCTTTTTACACTGCAGTTTTAGGTTGAAAAATATTTGCATAAAACAGCTCCTCCCTGCTCAAGAGGTCTGGCGCTTGATGGCACCCATTGAGTTTGGTGATGAAAACACTTTCAGATTGCATTTGACTCCTGTCAGCCCTCCACAGACAACTCTGCTAAGAGAATGAGCCAGCTTCTGTTCCTTCTCAGGTGCCACAAATGAAAATATTCACTTAATGCCAAGCATTTCCATCTGTGCAATCTCACTGAAGGCAACACAGGTTATACAAATTTAACAGAGGGCACAACTCAGCCTGCTTAATCTTTTTTCTAACAGTAATGGCATGTAAAGAGAGAGCTCGTGACTTGACTTCCACACACTAAGTTGGGTTTGTAGGGCTGGCAGGTAGGAATAAATGAGAGGGAACCCAGCTACTTCTTTTTATTTTTTACTTGCAGGAGCACATCTTTTCTGCCAGCCTATTGAGACACAACCCCACAATGCCATTGGCACAGTCCCTTTTCCAAGCAGAACTGCACACTTTCCCCAGGAGACTGGTAACTGGTGGATTACATTGCTATTTTCAGAAAGAGAATTTTGAAAGAAGAGGGCAGCCACTTACAGCTTCCACAGATGCGTTGTAATCACAGTCTTGCCAGGCTTTGCCTTCCCCAATGGCACAAGTGCTCTCTCTTATTTGATACTTCACAAAGAACTGTGCGCCAGGACCTGCCTGGGAAAAAAACAACAACATGAAGTCATCATTTGTACTCTTAATAAGACAGCAGAGCATTGGAGGCAACAAACATTTCAAAGAGTAGAGCTTAACTTACCCGTGCACAGCAAGGAGGTATAAAATGGGCTTCGTATTAGCTACTGGTCTCCACTGAGCTGATCTCTAAAATCTTTCTGACCCAGTAATTTACCCTGCCGAATACAGACTTTGTTCTAGTTAGCCATTGCTGAGCCTGTTCAAAACACTGTCTCTCGGATGGAGGAAGGTTGAAAGAGAAACAGTTATGTTTTCAATACTCCTTTGTAGTCTGTGCACTCTGATTAAGAAAATGCGGGCTGCTATTTCAACAGTCTGCAGGTCTGTCATTGCAGACTGCGCTTGAGTCGGACTTTATCAGTTAAGCAGAGCTGAGCAAGGTCAGCAGAAGGATGGGAAACTTTCCCAGGTAAACCCTGGCAGCAGCAGCAGCAGGCTGCAGAGATTGGTGCTGATAATATAGTAATAGATACTTCTCTGCATGCCCCAAACTCAGTAGCAAACCAGTGATCTCACACGGCAGTCAGAGGCACTGCAACATGTAATGCAGCTTCTAGGTGAGATGTTAAACCAAGCTTATCACTGGTTTTAGTCACTAGAGATTCTGTGGCAACTGCAACAAACCCCTTCAGGTGATTACATTTGTCTTCCTTCAAGTCCTGCAGTCTTGAACTGGAGGTAGATCCCCAGGTCTGCCACGCTAAAGCCAAGTAGGTGATGGTGGAGTGATGCTGGATTTGCACTGAGAAAACTGAGAGGAGACTTTGGCCCAATGCTTTCTGTTATTTCCTGTTGTATATTGTCAAGCATTACAACAGACCTGCTGCAGTTCCCTGGGCCATGGAATACCTACCAAAGGTTTTCTAAAAATATTCTGGGCCAAATCATCTGCTGATGTAAATTGACTGTTAAGGAGCAAAGGGACTTTTATGGATCCTCCAGTGGTTTAATTTTTATGTCAGATTGCCCTTTGCCCAAAACCAGGAATAATAACTCAGTTCAGTCCAATGAATTGTAGGTGTAAACAAGAGAGAGGGTTGCCTTTTTGTTTTATTGTTTCTTGCTTTGTTTCATTATTATTACCAATAGTTATGCCTTTCACTGGGGCAGGCTCAATCTCTCGCCAGTCAGCTTTTATGTTTTAGTAGCTTATCAATAATGAATGTACATGAAAATGTAATAACAAGGCAATTAATTCATGCTTTTGGTGTTGCAAGACTGCCGAAATATAAAATCTACTTCCTATTTAGAGGAAGCATTAAGGACATGGCCAATTCTTTCAATAACATTGGCCACTCACTGAGCGTGTGGGGTAGGGACAGGGTGCTCAGTGGCGTAGGTGAGGGGAAAGCAAATGTTATCCTCTGGACCGCTGCTTAGCATCAGCAGTGTCAACTCTTCTGTGCCCAGGCTTCCTTCAGATTGGATCCTGGTGTCCTGTTCGCTTTCCCCCACCCCACACACACATATTGGGGGCAGGGCTGTTCCTATTTTTGCATCAGCGCCCAGATGCCAGGGGGAGCATCCTTCTGCTTGCCCCAGTCGCTCCCCGTCCCCCAGATACATTGCTTCATGTGACACTGCTGCGCTTGGTTTGCATGGCCAAGCGGGGCAGCGCAGAGCTTCCCCTGCTACAACAAAGACTCTCCTGGAGAAGGAGGGATCCTGGCACCCCTTCACAGTCAGCATCCAGGATAGGTGGCCCCCTCACCCCAACCTAGTTATGCTACTGAATTCTCTCTTGCCAACTGTGGCAACCCCCTTCCTTGCTTTTCTTCTTACCCCCTCAACACCATGCCTGGACCAAAAATTCAGCATAATTCATTTCTACCTCCCATCTTTTCTACCACTAAATCAGTGTGTCTAGAGAAGGAAAGACAAGCGGCAACTTCAGTAAAAACATGTAACACACACACAATGTACAAGCCATTTTGTATTGTAAAGGTATTCTAGTTTAAATATAATTATGGGGTTTTTGTGTGTAATTTGTAGAGCATGTATTGTAGTCCATGTTTTCTATATCTGAGTATCTTGTTTTCTCTCCCTTGTTTGGATAAGCTGGAAAGAAGCAGGAGATGCTGCAGTAGGCAGATACCTGTGGCTTTGGTTAGGTCATAGAATAATAGAAATGAAGGGCTGAAAGGGACCTCAATAGATCATTGACTCCAACTCCCTTGCTCTGGGCAGGAATACTGCTGAGATCAAAATATCCCAGCCAGGTGTCTGTTCAGTCTCCTGAAGGCTTCCAAGATTGTGGACTGCACCAGCTCCTTGGGAAGTCGAGTCTAGATTCTGGTCACCCTATTGTCTAGGAATAACCCTGCTGTGTACTGTACACAAAATAGCATGGAGGTCAGTCACATGATCAGGGGAAATCAGATCCAAACTTGATTGGCTATACTGGGCAGTGTTCTTTTTTTAAGTGAATTGGTTAAGAGAAAAAACTGGAAGCCCTGATTGGAAAAGCTTGGGTGATGTCGGGCCAGACTACATAGAACCTCTCACCTGGGACTCAGCGCTCTTTCTCCTTGGGTGACTCTTGCAGACCTAAGGGTCTAAGCTGCAAAGAGCTGTTCCCCATGGGGGGGTCTTCCTACTTTGCACTGGAGAAGCAAGTTGGAGCTATATGAAGGGGAAACCCAAGGTAAAGGAAGAGAAAGTCTGTCTCAGAGTTTGGGAGACAGCTTCTCTCCCTCTTTTCTCCCCATTTTTCCCAGGTTTTGAGTGGGATAGTACTGTAGGGATATTAATCCCTGGAACACACTGTCCAGGGTTGGAGCCTGGCAGTTTCTGCCCTGGATTAAAGGCCTGGCAGTTTTTGCCCAGGGTAAGACCTGGCACATTTGGGCCATGCTGAGGGCCTGACACATTTTGTTGGTGTCACAACTTCTTTTGTCTCAGCCTAGCTATGTAGATGAGCCTCGCTGTATGTTCCCATTTGGGTTCTGAGTGGGATAAAACCATGGGGGTATTAATCCCTGGAGCACACTGACTAGAATTGGAACCTGGCAGTTTTGGCCAGGATTAAAGGCCCGGCAAATTTGGGTCAGGATTAAAAACCTGGCATGTTTTGTACTGGGGTGAGGAGCTTGGCACGTTTTGCTGTTTGGTCCAGGCCTCAGTGGAAAATAGGCTGGGGCCCCCTTTTATTGTTTTACAGCTGTTGTGTCTCGCCTAGCTGTGCAGCTGAGCCCCTCTGTGCATTCAGGCCTGGGCCAGGATAGGCCTGGCTTTTCTTTTTTGAGTTATTTTGCAGTTTTCTGATCCTGCAGAGCTGAGGATCAGGGCTAGGAATTTTGGAGGGTGTGGTTTGCTGATTGAAGCCTCAAAGCCACCATGCAGAAGTGAAAATCAGTGCCCTACAGCTTTCCAGGGAGCAATGAGGGGCCCCTTGCACTGCAGAAGGACCTATACTCACTACCAGCTCCCTGAGATGCAGCAAATCCCAAGGAGCAGCTCATAGGACTCTCCTGCTAAGTAGCAGGTATTGGGGTGCAGGCCTCCAGAGCAATCCCTTTGGGTGACCCCCCAAGCCCCTGACTGCCTGGGTATGGTTGAAGCCTCCCCAAGAGGGTGCAACTTATAAACTGTGTTTATAGTTGTTAGTGTTTTAATTGCACGTGGTGTTTTTGCTTGTTTACCTTGCCTTTATTTTCTATAATAAATCTGTCCTTTTGTGTTTACGCTGCTTGCAAGGAGGGGGCTTTATTTATGAGCAACACCCCAAACAAATTCAGTGATCCCAGATTTGTGGGGGCTTGAGAAAATTTCTTTGGTACCCTGGAATTTGCCACTTGTCCCTGGGGCTCTTGGACCCTCCTGACTTCACCTCCTTCCAGTGTACATTGGCTGACATCAAGCATAGAAAACATGGAGCCTAAGCGTCAGGAGACGTAAATTCTAGTCCCACTTCTGCTGCTAGCTCACTTTATGACCTTGAACACGCCTGCATAAAGTGCTTTGAGATCTTTGTGTATAAAATAGTCTAATGATTCATACCGAAATCTAGTGCGGCAGGAAAACAAATGTGAATGCTGGTCCAAGGAAAAAAGCAATGCCTCCCATTATCGTCCCAGTAACACTGTCTTTGTGTGGCCCTTGGGAGGAAATACTCTTGCTTGATTAATGCTGAACAGAAAAGGCTGGAGGCAAAGGATCCTGCCTGACCTTTTTTCCTCCAACTTCAGCTTCTCCATGTTTGACTAAGAGAGCGCCTGGTCTTTTTTGATAAAGACGTGACTCAGAACTAGCCCCAATCATATACCATCCACAGGTAATTTATTCCAAATATTTCCATCATTGGTTAAGTCCATTATTTGGAATTTTTATCATGATGTTACCAGCTCTTCTCAGGAGAAGATCACATTAAATTTCCTAACAAGTGAGCTTCGCCAGCAGGAAAATTTTCCTAGTGGTGGGTAAACATTTGCAACACAGAAAAGGAAAGAGGTTCACTTAGTAGGATGACAAGTTGGGGCAGTAGTAGAGTTGGGAACAGAAACCTTGGCCGTCTGACTTAGTCCTGCCCTGGTGGCATTGGAGAGACTCAGTCATATGATAGGGCCAAATTCTGATACATTTACTCATGTGGAATAGCATGTTGCTTCTCAAGTGGATCCACTGATTTCAAAGGAGCTACGTAGTATGCCTGTGCGAAGCGGCTAGTATTCAGTTTGGATTCGGCCAATTCGGGGGGACAGTAATTCGATTCGGTGATTTGAATCACTGTCCTAATTTGATTTGGTCGAATCTCCGAATCAGCCAGGCCAGGCCCATCCCCTGCCTCTCTCCTAGCCCGGCAATGT